TCAGAAATAAAATAAGGATAATAGAGGCCATTATAAACTTTTGAACAATAATAGATACAGAGGCAGAGCTGCCTCAAACAGATTGTCAAACTGCAGCAGGAAGGCCGGGGAGGGTTGGGCGGCAGGAGGTAGGGGAGAAAGAGTTTAACCAAAGGACTTGTATGCATGCATATAAGCATAACCAATGGACATAAGACACTGGGGGCTAGGGGAGGCCAGGGGATTGTCAAGGGTGGGGGAAAAAAGGACACATATGTAATACCCTTTGTAATACTTTAAGCAATAAAGAAAATAATAATAATTTTTTAAAAAGAATAAATCAATAAGAAGAAAAATGAAGATGATAAAAAAATTATTTGCTCATATAAATGTGGGTTTATTCCTGGGATTTTAATTTGTTCATTCATCAGCTGATGGGCATTTGGGGTTGTTTTCACTTTTTGACTATTACAAATAATGCTGCCATGAACATTCATATACAAATTTTTGTGCAGACATATGTTTTTATTACTCATGGACCTTTTTAATTCTTGATGCTGGCCACTACTCATGGACCTTTTTCATTCTTGATGCTGGCCACATGTATCTTTTTCCTCTCCTTTAAAAGATAATCTTACTAGAGGTTTAGCAATTACAGAAATTTTTCTAAAGAACCAATTGTATGGGTGTTCTTCTGTTTTTTTAAATATCTGCTTTTAAGTTATTTCCTTTTATTTATTTATAACTTCTTAACAGGCTAGTTAGGTACTAATACACACCTTTCAGTTTGAAGCATTGCTTTACCAGCATCCCTTAACTTAAAAATACTTTTTAATGTTTTTATTACTTTTGAGAGAGAGAGAAAGACATCAATTGCTGCCTCTTGCACGTTCCCCCCCAACTCCCCACCCACACTGGGGATCAAACCAGTGACCTCTCAATGCATGGGACTGCATGGGACAATGCTCAACCAACCAAGCCACAGAAGCTGGGCAGCATCCCATAATTTTTGATATGTAATATTTTCATTATTAATTTTACATTTTCTTATTTTCATTGTAATTTTTTCTTTGATCAATGAGTTATTTAAAAATGTATTTTTTTATTTCCAGTAATATGAGAATTTTCTAACTCTGCATATTTGGTAATGGTTTCTGGTTTTATCACAACTTTCTTAGAGAACTTTCTTTGCGTGATTTCAAGAAGTTTTAAAACTTCTTGAGGTTTACTTTTATGGCTTAGCATGTGGTCAGTTTTTTTGTAAATATGTTAAGTGCTTGAAAAGCATATATTCTGCAGCTCTTGGATGTAGTGTTATATATTGTTAATTGTGTGTATTTGTGTCCTGATTATTTTGTCTGCTTATTCTTTCAACTACTGAGAGATACCTTAAAATCAGCCACAATGATACTGATGTTTGTCTATTTCTCCTAGTAGTTCTGTCAACTTTTGCTGTATATATAATTTGAGGCCATGCTATCAAGTGCATGCAAACTTAGTTAATTATAGTGTTCTGGTGACGTAAACATTTTATTATTCTTAATGTGACTCCTTTAGCTCTAGTGATGCTTTTCTGTTTTGTCTGAAAATAATTTACCTATACTATCTTTATTTTAGCTAATGTTTACATGATGTATTTTTCTATCCTTTTACTTTTAACTTTTAACCTTTCTGTATTATGTTTTACATGAGCCTCTAGAAAGCAGCATATATTTGTAGATATTTAAAAATCTAGTCTGATAATCTTTTTCTTTTTTGGAATATTTAATTCATTTATATTTAATGTAACTACTAATATATACAGCATCACGTTGTTGCCCCTTCCATTCTGTATTTCTTTTTCTCTTCCTTTCATCTGAATGATTATTCTATGTCAATTTTTCCTTTATTGGTTTAGATAGCACATATACATTTTAATTCTTTTTATGATTACCTTCACTTACCAGAGTCTAGTGTTGATACTTTTACCTTTCTCCTGGTTGAAGCAAGAACATTAAAAATACCTTAATTCCATTTACTTACTTCTTGACATACTTGCTATTGTGCTGTAATTTAATTTTCTATATGTATGTATATGTGTATGTATAGATGTGTGTGTATATGTTCAAAAGCTGTACAGATTTAATGTATATAACTTAATAATAGACATTTTAATTCCCTTAAGACATTATCATTTTACACAGTCAGTGTCCCATTAGATTTTTACATGTTTACTTCTGCATCTGTAACTTTTCATTTTGGGTCAATTTTCTGTTGCTTTATGATTATGAAATATTCATTCTTGATAGAAATTTTTTCTGCAGTACAAGGTTGACAGTTGTTTTTCTTTCTGCTCCTTAGAGATACCATTACAGTCTTTCAGCTTCCATTTTTTTCTTTTTTTTATTGCTTAAAGTATTACAAAGGGTATTACATATGTGTCCTTTTTCCCCCCCGCCCTTGACAATCCCCTGGCCTCCCCTACCCCCCCAGTGTCTTATGTCCATTTGTTATGCTTACTTATATGCATACATATAAGACCTTCAGTTGATTGCTTACCCCACCACCCTTCTGCCGCCTACCCTCTCCAACCTCCAGCTGCAGTTTGACAGTCTGTTTGAGGCAGCTCTGCCTCTGTATCTATTTTTGTTAATAAGTTTAAAATGGTCTTTATTATCCATGAATGAGTGAGATCATGTGGTATTTTTCCTTCATTGACTGGCTTATTTCACTTAGCATAATGCTCTCCGGTTCCATCCATGCCATTGCAAATGGTAAGAGTTCCTTCCTTTTTACAGCAGCATAGTATTACATCGT